AATATATGTCACAATCATACTGACTAAATAGGCAACTCCTGAGCAAGTGGAGTGCACCAACACCTTCTGCTGAGCTGATAGCCTTCTAGGAGGACTGTCATCATGTCTATCAGCACATGCGAGCATAAAACACAGCATCCCCAAGTAAAAAGGATGTCAGTACGAATAAAGTACCGAGTATGTAAGGTAGGAAATCATAAATAAGAGCAGTAATGTAAAGAAAGGTAGAGAAGTTACAACCTGTAACATCTGAGTACCTCTGTGGGTATCATCATCATCGTATCGTACCCGGCCTCGAAGAGGACTAGGTAAAAATATACCTGGCCATCATAAGACTCGGTACAATCGTACTTGGCCCCGTGTAGCTCGATAAACCTAACTGATCAGTAGTTACAAAATAGGTATCGTACCCGACTGACTATAGCGCGACACGGTAGAGTAATATATANACGTAAGGTTGTCGCACCCTCGATTAACATTATTGTCATCCATACCATCAATATGAGCCTCAGTAGGATTCAAGGATCATACATACTTACTTAAAATAACTTTTATAAGGAAAAAACAACATGGGCAACTTAGTTGCTAGGAGTAGATACGTTATGAAATAGCGTATCGTTTATGTTCATTTCACTTTAGATCATGCCAAAAGGAAAGAAGGGATAACCTTACTTACCTCAACTCTGTTGAGTCCTTAATACCTTCCAAGATATTATTCAAACAACTCAACTCAATTTACCATAGCATACAGAGGTTCAAAATCAGTGTTGAGTAAAGGCTAAGTTCACAACTTAAACTAGTAGCTCATTTATGTAAATTTTGGTAGCATTTTCCCTGTAACACGGGCCTCCTCCAATACCATATACCAACAATAACAACTAAATAAATCCAACAACATATACATATCAATAACAAGACACTATATAACAACAACACGACGAGTGGCAAGCTCCAATTGGAATCTGTATAACCCATATAACCTCTTATAGAATTCTTACATTAACTTAACAACATCATTAACATGATAATGAAGTCATTCATCAATGATTCCATCCTTATACCATATATTTATAACAAAGAAAATAATCCACAACTCCAACTATCTTTAATTAGCAACTTTATTCACTAGTTCATGTCTAGTCCATCCATTTAACTTAATAAACATCAAGATAACTTTAAGCACATGAAAGAACATAATACACATACCTCCAAGAAGTGGCTTAAGTTACAACAATCCTCAATGGCAATAAAACACCATAGAAGTGACTTAAGTTAATCCAAATATTATCTTGTAGTTTAGCATCCTAACAACTTAACCAACATGCAAGCAAAATTAAGCACAATTTGTAGGCTGTTATACTCACCTTAGCCAGTAGCAACAACTTGAAATTTCAGAGAAACACAACCCACAACTATCCTCAATGACAACACAACCTAAAAGAGGTGTTGTTCTTCACTAGAATTAACCTTTGATGTTGAAATATGGTATAATCCATTTGCAAGACTTGAAATAACCTAGGGTTGACATGAAAACCTTGAAAGAGTATTTTACAGAACTTAAACCACTTAAAACAACCTCCTGCATGAGCTGGCACCATCCAAAAATCAGCAACAACAAGAAGAACAAGAAACTTACTGGCGCAACGGGATTCCCGACACTTGATTTGTGTTGTTTGCCCTTTGTTTGGGTCTTGGATCATGAGAGAACCTTGAGAGAGTGTTTTTAGGTGTCTAGGGTATAAAGATACTGAAAAAGAATGAGTTAAAACGGGGTTGAGGCATCTTATATATATATATCAATATATCTCAACCGCCTATGTGGGTCCCATAGGGAGCTGCTTGGTGCAGTCTCACAAAAATACAAATATCTCTCTACTCTGACATCGTATAGACAAACGGTTTAATGTGTTAGAAACTAGACTCGTAGATATTCAATTTGGTAGGTAGATCATCCGATAATTCAAAGTATATTTAGAGAAAAGCTCATCTACATTTGAGCTAAATTTCAGCACATTATGAATGTAACTTGTGATGACCTTTGCCAACTTTTATTCCACAACTTGCTTGACTTCAAAACGTAGAACACGACTATTATAACTCATAGAATAACCTCCTTATCATGTTAAGAACCCTAGTCTCACCCCAAAGTACATGTTATAACATTCCAAACTTGTCGACTTTCGACGAAACTTATTTTCTTCAATTGGTCTAGCTTCTAAGCATTCCAACCCTCTTGGTACTCGTTATTCATGATTGTAAATATTTGTAACCTCCAAGGTAACATGATTAACTTACTTTATATGCTTTCAAATATAATCTTATTTTTGAGCTTACATCAATTGATTTACGACGTACTCTCACGTACGAAAACATGTGGTGTAACATTACCCGTAAAACAATGCAGTTGAATTTATAGCGTGGTTTATTGACAAGTAAATCTTTTGACCCACAAATAGAAAATATATAAGAACAAAAATTAGGTTATGAAATGAAATTAAAGGAAATACGAGCTTGGCTATGAACTTAGCCTTTCCGGTGGAGAAAGTGAGAACAATATTCAAGAACAAAGATTGAGAGTAATGACATAAAATGAGAGTAGAATATAGTCTTTTCTATGTACATAATTTTTTTCCCTATAAGTGATGCTAATTCCCCTATTTATAGTTTTTTTTGGGAGACAAGATCCCAAAATCAAGTTCCTCTTGAATGTGAATAAAATCGTAATTGATGGCCGCATAACGATTGGTTATAAATGTAGATATTCTCTGTAACGGGTGCTCATTGAATGCTATCTGATGTCAATATTTTGAACCTTTGTTATCAGTTACTCTGTCTTCAGGATTCATTCAGCCAGTGGCGAAGCTAGAAATTTTCCTTAGGATATCCAAACTTGAAAGAAGTAAAAATATCTCTGACAAAGGGTGTTCAATATATATTATATATCTCTAAAACCTAATATTTTACCTATATATGCCGTGTAATTTTCCGATGAAGGGTGGTTGACTACCCTTACCATAGTGTAGCTTCGTCCATGCATTCAACATCGGTCGCATGCCTGCATCCGGTATAGCTGTTTGCTGACTCACATCCACCTGTCTTTAGTTCCATGTGTCACTTCATCATCATTCGCTCAACTGTCAATAACTAATTTTACCTCCTATACTCATCATCATCTCCTTTTAAGTTTTCTCAAATTCTCATAATGTGTTTGACAAATTCTTTATAGGTTATATTGTTAAGTGTACTTTCTTGCTTTTTTGCTTAATCTATAATTGCCATCATGAGAAACTAGAACACAAATTTAGTTTAACCTCCCATTCTTGGAACCAAAAAAGTTCCTTTATTGCAATTCTTGAATTATGGCTAATCTTAAAGTTATCTCTTTGGTAAATTTCCCAAGAGGATATGATTATTGTTCGAAATAATTTTTTTTATGTGGGCTTCTTAAAGATTGGGGAGTTAAAGAGATCTAAGGTATAAATATCACATTTTTATATTCTATTATTAGATTTAGAAAAAGTTGAAATAATTTTTGAAAGTTGAAATTATATTTGGACATGTATTTTATTTGAAGAAAAAGTTGAAGTTTTGTAAGTGAAAGAAATTTTTTTGCCAAAAAATGCCCTAAACTAGTTTTTGGAAACTTCAAAATTTTTAAATTTTTCCCCCAAAACATGATCATATTTTATATAAACAAACATTGTTTTAATTTTTTTTTTGAAAAAATAAAGTCAAAATGTATGGCCAAACGGGAGCTAAGTTTCAATTTTCTAGAGAGGAATGAGACTCAATTCTATGTTGATGGTAAGCTTTCTGTGTAAATGGATGGAATTCCCAATGGTTAATGGACCCTACTGCTAATATAGTAGGGAAAATTTCACATTAGAACATCTGGGCTCCTTGCTTTTCAATTTTATAACTCATACTTCAATTTACAACCAACTAACCCAAAAATAATAGGCTAAGATTCAACATTCAACTTCAATAGGTTCTCAAAATTGCTATTTAGTTTTAAAAAAAGATTCCTCAAGCTTTTAAATTAATTTTCGAATCAGTAACTGTGACTCAAATATTAATTCAACAAACCAAATTTATTTGGGTGGTGAAAATTAGATTTTTAACAAGCTTAAATATGTGGGTTTAAATTCTAAATTTGATTTTGTGAGAAATTTGAAGTGGGTGTTATTTACACTTGTTAGAAATAGTATAAGGAGGTTGTATATAAAATTTGAAGTCATTTAATGGAGATTTGAACTGGTTTTGAACAAGAATTGCAACTAAAATTGTGGAATAAGTTCGTCTATAAACGCTTGTATAAAGATGTATAAAAGTGTATAAGTCTATAAGATGTGTTTCTACACTCATATACACTATTATACAAGATTATACATAATTATACAAAAAACTGACTTCATTTTCTTCCTTGCGTCTTTTCTGAAATTTAACTCAAATCTTGCTCAAATCTACGTAAAATCACTTCAAATTTAAATTTTGAACTCCTTTTGATATTTTCAATCAATTGGAACAACACCCAATCCAAACAACTAACAAATTCAAAAAAACACATTTTCAAAAGCAAAACTTTGAATGATCTTCAATGGTGGACTTCTACTCTTTAATTTTCTTACATTGCAAGCAAATGACACAAGAGGAGAAACAGAAAATACACGGCCCCTTGAAGCATACATAGAAGATGTGAGAAGAAGAGAGAGCGAAAGCAATGCTTGTGAGAACAAAGAATTGACTCCATAGTTTTTAGAAGCCATAGTTGTAAGAATATAGATTTTGAATCTACAAGTGCTTTCAAAATATGTACAATATGAGTTAGACAGGATAAAACTTAAAAATATGTGCAATTTTTTGCTATGATGTAAAGTCACGTGTATTTTCTTGTAATTCTTTTATTATAGTAGTAGACCAAGAATTAGAACTATGCTTGAAGGAGCTGGTGCAAAGATGGGTCTTACTGTTTAAAAGGTAAATGCTTTGGGGGATATTCAGGTTAGGAGCTGAACGGAGCTTGTTTAAATGGTGCCACGTGTCCTTAAGCGGGCTGAATTCAGAATACCAAATAATTTGGCGGGTTATCTTTCCTCAAAATTCAAATCATTTGGCGCTATAACCTAATCTCCATTTTAATCTTACCGCTCCCTTCAGTTCCATTTCTCTTTCACAAATAAGATCCACTTCTCTATTATTCCTCCACACAGCCACTATCCCCTAATCTCCTATTTATCAATCCCATATTGATTCAAAATAATTCATGGAAAGTGACGACGATTATCAGTCCTTCCCGTTGCCGGAGGAGGCTTCTCCGGAGATCCGACGTCCTAGATTCAAGCGTTTGAAGAAAGCTCTAGAAGCTTCCAAAAATCAACATCCTCCCCCAACTATGCCAATAGACGAAGTGTTTGACTTTCCTAAGGTTGATTTTGCAAAATTGGAAGCTCTAGAAGCTTCCAAAACCCTAGAAGAAGATTCTGCTGATTCAACTGAACTTGTATCATCATCACTGGGCAGCGAGGAAGAGACAAGATCTGAGTCTGGCTTTGAGGAAAAGGGTGGAGAGAGTAGGGAAGAATTGGAAGCTTTAGAAGCTTCCAGAACCCAGGAAGATTCTGCTGATTCAACTGAACTCGTGTCACCACACAACATCGAGGATGAAAAGGGCGGTGAGGATGTTCTCGTTTCTAGCGAGCAGAACAAAGAGGTTAAAAGATTTCTGGATTTTGGTGAGGATGATGATCAGTCTCGTGGGAAAGAACATGAAACGAGTAGGGAAGTTGGGGAAGATTTGGAATCTGGTGACGTGGCAAAGGAGATGGAGGATTTGGATATGGAGAAATTGGGAACACAACAAGATGTTGAAGGAGATGGGGATCTGAAGGAAGATGACAAAACGAAAAAGAAGAAGAAGAAGAGAACTAAAGGTGACATTGGTAGTGAAGCGAAGTCGAAAGAATTGGCTTCGAACAAAAGAAGAGAAGCAAAGGTTTGTTGATTTAGTAGCTGATCTCAACTAGTCTACTTTGAGACAGTTATTGTGGTTTATTATCAGTATACACCTTTTAATTTCTGTTTTTGCTTGTATGTGCATATGTAGATTGACGATATTGGATTTACTTGTTTTGCATACAGGAGAGAAAAATATTTCTTCAGCAGCTTCATGTTGATACTCAGCGACTATTGCGAGGTTTGTAGTTTTGTACTTAATGTTTTTAGTACTTCCTCTGTGTCAATTGATGTGACATTATTTGATTTGATACTAAGTTTTGATTTGACTTATATTTTATGTTAGTGATAGTTGAAGAAAATATTAAAGTATGATTGGAATGTTAGTTAAATAGGGAAAAATTATATCAAAGTTTAAAATTTGGAAAGTTTAATGAATTTGGATTCTTGAAATTTGCTAAAGTTTCTTTAGAATAGAATCGTGTCAAACATTTGAAACTACCTAAAAGGAAGAGTCATACAAAACTGAGATTGAAGAGTAGTTCTTCTTTCTTATGGAAAATGTGTACTTGTACTAAAGCTTCCAGACTTAACGGACACTCACATGTTTTTTTCTTCTTCTAACATCATCAGAAAGTAAGGATGCAACATTTAAGCCTGTACCTGTTATACATAAGCCTATATCCTCTGTTTTGGAGAAGATTCGGAAAAGGAAGCTCGAGGTCTTGAAAAAGTAAGCTGCAGCTGAATTTTAAGCAATATGTGTCTTACTACCTGGATCTATACGGATTGTGATTGCTCACCCTTTTATCTATACATTTCTGTTGTTATTTCACTAGCAGGACTGGGATGCTAAGCGGCAACAGTTCCATTCACAAGATTAGTGCTTCAAGTGAGGTTATGATGGAATTAGGTGCAAAGAATGCATATTCCGAAGAGCAGAGAGTTGACAAACTGGACATAGAGTTGGGAGAGAAGGTGGATGTAAATGGCATAGAAATGGATAGGACTACAGATACCTCTAATATTGATGGAATTTCGGTATCTCCAATTACTAGAAGCAGTGAAATTGCTCCTGATCAAATGGTGAGTGGAATTGCATTAATTTTTTTTAGCATGTACTCTGTAGTCCAGTTAGTAGATTGCCATCTATAAGATTCATTTATTTGATACTAACTAGTGCCGGACAATTGAGTTCAGTTTTGTGTCTGGTCTGAGTGTCTTTCCTTTTCACATATGAGTTGAAGGTAATTTCTGTAAAAAGGATTTAATCTGAACTTTAATATGTGAGTTGAGAACTGGTAGACCTTTACTTTTCAACCATTTGTAGAAGCATGCTTCATTTTTTTTTTTTGAATTTTGTGAGCTCTTTGTAACTTTTGTGAAAACATAACATTGAACTGGTCTCTTTCTTGATCCTTCTTTGGCTGAAATAGGGTGCTGGATATGTTAGTGGCAGCAACTCTTTTTTAAACATCATTCAGAGAGAAGGACCAGGTTTAACCCAGATCTGTTTTGTACCAAATCTGGTTTTAGTATGTATACATGAGATCCATGCATTTTAAACTCTAATGCCAAATTTGTGGTATGAATTGACAAGGAGTTTGTACTCTTCAACCACATCCAGGTAACAGATTGTCAACATGCTACCTGAAGTCCACAATCTACTTGTATATATTGATGGTATTTGCAACAGTGATAGAACCTAGGAACATTAGAGATTGGCATATGAAACTAAATAAATTATCTATTGCATCCTGATGTCAGTCATCGCCATGCTAAGTGCTGCTGCTATTATCTCTCTGCAGGCTTTGGATGAAATGCCCAACGCTGTATTTAGAGCTCCAGTTGATGACACTCAGGTAGTTTCTCATCTTTTCACTTAGTAAAGGGAGCTATTATAAGTAACACCAGGTTTGCAAGAAAATCTAATGCTGGAGCTTTTTAAAAATTTTAGGATCTATTTGATGACTCTGAACAAACAGGCAGTAAGGATGAGATGCTTGATGACCCGGCCTCTAGTCCTTTGGAAGAAGTAATGGCACCATCTCTCCTTGCTTTGAACTTGAAGTTCGATTCTGCCCCTCCAGATGAAAGGTAAGTGGTTTTGGAAAGTATCTTTGCTTGCAAATCTAGACATGTTTTACTGCAATCTGGGCTTGATAAGCTCCGATTTGTTCTTTGGCGAAGGATCACATGTCCACAAACAGAAAAGTCTATTTGATTATTGTCATTGATTTGTTATGCTAAAACTAAGTCATCATCCTTATTACAATAAACTCCAGAAAATAAATATATTTTTTTCTTTTAAAAGTTCCTCAGATGAGGAGGACAATGACAAGGAGAATGTAAATCCATATACAAAAGAAGGCGGTGATGGCTGCAGTTCTCCAAAGGGAGACCCAGTTAAAGCATTTGTTGATGATGAAGCGGAGGAAGAAGATGACAGTGATAATGACCTATTACGGTTCGGCGATGAAGAAGACGAAGATATTGATGATTCTGCTGAACTCCATGATATTATTGCCACTGATTACAAAGAAAATCCAGTTGATAAAGAAAAGCGGAATGAACTTCATCAAAAGTGGCTTGAGCAGCAGGATGCTGCTGGAACTGAGAATTTGCTGCAACGGTTAAAATGTGGTGTAGAACAAAAAGAGACAATGTTGGTCGATGATGAACTAGAAAGCGATGAGTGTGATGAAGAGGTCAATAATGTCACTGACACGGATGCAATACCTAAAAGTTCTGCTCGACTAAATTCAAAAAAGGCAAAGCAAATAATAATGCAGATGTTTGTGGATAAAGATGAGGTTTACTTATCTGATGAAGATGAGGAAACTGAAAAGAGGCTTGTAAAGCAGCGCATGCTATATAACTCTGTGAGTTTGCCATGTTGTTAGGTTTGACAACACTGACACAGCACATTAGCCTTCATGTTATATTCTATGATTTAACAAACATTTTCTTTTCATGTTGAAGTTTCTTTCATCTTTTTGAAAACTTACTCAGCTTTAAATATGAACAGGAGCTGACAACAGTAGTATCACCTATTGAGGATGAAAGTTCCAGTGAGTTATTTGGACTTATAAAGAAGCTTAATACTGTGCCTGACAATAAAAGAAAAGCAAAAGCATCCTGTAGGTGTTATTTCAACATTTAAATACTTGTTTATTATGCTTTGTTTGTAAACTGAAGTACTTGTTTATTATGCTTTAATTGTCAGATTTTTTACTTTTCATTGCTGTTGCTACTTTGCAGCGTTCTTTGATACAGTGCTAAGGGACCAAAAGAAGAAAAGCTCTCTGAAGGTAAATTTTGTCTTAAATTACTTTATGACTTGGCACATGAAACTGAGGTTGGGTGTAAATTATCCATGTATACAGTGCTATCGAGAAACATTTATCTAGAACTTTTAGGATCATGTTTAATTGTAGTCTACTCTATTTTATTTTGAGATACTAGCTCCCCCCCCCCCCCNTTACTGATTTGGGATTGAAGAAGTGATTAACCATGGACTCACTCCTCAGTGTTCTATACTTACCAGATATTAGCATGTTAGAGCTGTGTCTAGGGAATATATTTTCATTTGTTTGCATGCCCTATCAAAGGTACCATTGGGTACACTAAGGCTTTGGGGGCTCTGTTTGTGAATATGTTTTTCTTCAAGAATGCCACCACACTCCGTGCTTCATTGTTGGGCAAAGCCA